TTGGACAACACAATTCAGCCCATAACAGGCCACATTTCACCCAGACTCCGAGGCCAGACCTCCTAGCACCCCTTTCCACTAGTCTCCTATGGAAGTGAAGGTCGCTTGTATGTTGAACCACATAGCCATTTGCAGCGTTTCACCACACTTGATTCTTCAGGACCTGCTGCCTGCAAGGGCCTATCTCCTCCCTCTCTCCTTTCGCAGGTGGCCAGGTCTTCCCTTGTCTTGTCTTCCAGCAGTGTACTGAATCCTCCCTCCTGCTAGTGTCTGCTGCTTCTTTCTCTATTTCCAAGTAGGTTTATTTCTTTGTCTATTCCTTACTGTCACGTAAGGAGGGGAAAGAGATAATTGTGTGCAGTCAATGTACATTTTTCTTTTGACATCTTTCTAAAATGCAGATCCTTAGTCTTGTCTGAGAAGCGTCTCTGGATCCCTAGTTCCCTTGGGAGAATATTTAAACTTTCAGGAGGCCCTTGTGCTCTCTCTCTCTCTCTCTTTTTTTTTTTTAAGAGACAGAGTTTCACTTTATGACCCTCGGTAGAGTGCCTTTGTGTCACAGCTCACAGCAAACTCCTGGGCTCAAGCTAGTCTCTTGCCTCCGCCTCCCAAGTAGCTGGGACTACAGGCGCCTGCCACAACATCCGGCTATTTTTTGTTGCAGTTTGGCCAGGGCCAGGTTGGAACCCAACATGGGACTAGCTGTGGGGCCAGTGCCCTACCCACTGAGCCACAGGCACTGCCCAAAGCCCGTGTGCTCTCATTCCCACCAGGCTTTCTGGCTGCAACTTCCTGATCAGCCTTTCAGTTGAGGCTACAGCTACCCTGAGCAGAGTGCTAAGCTTTATCTCTGAAGCCCTTCATGTCTCTGGGTGACACAACCCTGGCTTGGGACACAGAAGATCTACATTTACCACTAGGGGAACTTTTTTTTTTTTTGAAACAGTCTCACCTTGTCACCCTTGGTAGAGTGTTGTGGCGTCACAGCTCACAGCAACCTCCAACTCTTGGGCTTAAGCAATTCTCTTGTGTCAGCCTCCCAAGTAGCTGGGGCTACAGGTGCCTGCCACAATACCCAGCTACTTTTTGGTTGTAGTTGTTGTTGTTTGGCAGGCCCAGGCTGGATTTGAACCTGCCAGCTCCGGTGTATGTGACTGGCACCCTAGCTGCTGAGGTACAGGGCTGAGCCCACTAGGGGAACTTTTGAAAGGTCCCCTACTATCCAGGTCTCAGTTTCCCTATTTTAAAGAAATGTATCCTGGGAAATATTTTGTGGAGTGCCATGAGTATGCAGTCATTCATTCCTATTTGTTGAGCAGGGACTGTGTGCCAGGCTGGGGACACAGCAATGAAAAGGAGACAAAAGTCCTTGCTCTCACATTCAAACACTATCTGGGGGATGGAGTGCAGTGGCTCATACCTGTAATCCTAGCACTCTGGAAGACCAAGGCAGGTGGACTGCCTGATTGAACAGTTCGAGACCAGCCCGAGCAAGAGTGAGACCCATCTGTAAAAAACAGTCAGGCGTACCCCATCTCTAAAAAATAGTCAGGTGTTGTGGCAAGTGCCTGTAGTCTCAGCTATTCAGGAGATGGAAGCAAGGGAATCTCTTGAACCTGGGAATTTGCAGTCGTTGTGAACTAGGATGCCACAGCACTCTACCCAGGGGGAAAAGGTTAGACTCTGTCTCAAAAAAAAAAATTAAAAAAGAAAGAAATATGCTCTGAAACACTTCTAGATGAAATGATATCATGTCTAGGATAGGCTTCAACATAATCAACTAGTGGAGGAAAGTGGTTGGTGGGTTGAGGAAGTGGGGATATAGACAAAGCCAGATCTACCCTGAGTAGAAAATTGATGAAATTTAGCATGAGTATGTTAGCTTTCATTATACGTTTCTCTCACCTTTCTGTTTGTTGGAAATTGTCCATAATACACAGTTACTGCTTTCCAGGAGCTGACATTGTAGTGGAAAAGACAGGCAGTAAACAGAATAATGAGCAAAACACCTAACAGATCATAATGATAATCACTCTTTTTTTTTTT